CCTGCTGCCTGTATGGGGTCCCTTGCTCTGTTCCTCTACCAGATAGATAGCGAGTGGGTAGTTTCCACTAGAAGTAAGGCAGGCTCAATTTTTCATGTTTTCTCTTACCAAGTTTCTTCTTAGAATAGAAACATTTATCTGAGAAGGAGGAAGGGTGACGGGAGCCCCTCTCCTCCCCGCCTGACTAGACAGGGCAGTGCAGGAGTGATGTGAGTCCTTCCTTCAATAACGCTGCATTTCTAGGGTGTTTATGTAATTGGTTGTACTCCACCTTTTGGCTAAGTAGGTCTGTTTCCTTCACCACCCTCACAGTAGCTTACAGAGGGCATGCTCGGAGTCCTGTTTTCCACAAGGGAATATGCCCTTGCTTTAACATCTGAGGGAGTCTTGGAGATTCTCTCTTGTCTTCAGGAAGGATGCTTACCTGTTTGAAAGACCTACAACCATTTTTTAACATTTCGTCTGCATGTGTTAAAATAGGCCTTATTTTCTCCATAAAAGTAAGAGCAGTCCTATTATGCACATTTTTTCTTCCCTCCTCTGTCAGTGCCCGGGAACAAAAAGGGCATGTGGTGAATTCGTGTTAGGAGTGAAGTTTTATCGTGGAAAAGCCAGTCTTCTGTAACGAAATTGGTAGCAAAAAGTCTGGTAAGAGTTGAGTGGGAATCCTGCGGGCTCGGCTTCAGGACCATGGAGAAGGCCATTGCATTGGTGAGGCGCCCTGGGTGCAGGCTCCTCGGGGGAGCTCACAGGCTGCTTGCATCAGTCGCAATGTGAGAAGTATTTTAATATGCTTTTGTACCATTTATTTGCCTTTACAGTCTTTGTAAGTTTTATCTAATTCAGCTTTTGGGAGTTTATTCCACACAGTGTGGTGGTAGGAGATACCTGCAAGTGGCAATAAAGCATTTGATGGAATCCAGAATGTAGAAATGTGCATGACTATATGCGTGGGAAAACTGCTTGTAACATGTGCAGCATGGACCACTGCATGTCAAACCTCTTAGCATCAACACTGAGGATTTGTCACTGCAAAACTCATTAGCGTTTGCAGGAGGGCAAGACCCACTGGCATTCTGTTGTTAGTCTTAAGATTTATACAATCCACAGGAAACTGTGACTTATAAACAGGATTATACTGACCAGTCTGCCTCTGTGTTTTGAAGTTAGCTGTAAAATGGCATGTCCCTTTCTCTTGCAGACTTTCTACAAAGGAGAGAAATCTGATTTGCCAAGAAAGTGCCTTGAAATCTTCCAAGACAGAGAAGACATCTTGTACCTTTTTGATTTACAACATTTTGTTACTAGATGCATTTTGTATTCATATATGTCGGACATTCCATATTTGTGTGAAACATTATTTTATTTTAATTTGTAAATTTGTTGCCTATAGTTCAGACAAGCCCATTATTTAAATATATTGTATATAAAGAATACTAATAATATACTAATTAAATGCTATAATCATGTGCAGGGAGTTGGTAAAATTTTGCTGTTTCTCTTGTTCCATTGTATTTACATCATTTTGCTCAGGCTCTTACTTTCATTATTTGCACTAACTTGAAATGCAGAAGTCTATGTAACTGAAACCTGAATAAGCTGTAAGTGGGGAAGTTTTACTTGCCGTGGAAGATATTTTATATTATGAAGGTTTGTTAATATATACATATATATTATTGCGCATCAAAAAAAAATGCTCAGAAATGCACCTTGCTTTCAGGAACATTTGTATGACTATTCTGGATTATCATCAGTTACATTTGTACTGGCACTTATGGAAAGAGTTGCAAATAATGTAAATATAAAGACTGGAAAACTGCAATGCAGTTTCGATGGAATAAAGAACATAAAAATAATCTATTTTTCAGGGAGGGTTATTTAAACTTATTAAGGGGTTATGTATTTCATATTTCACATGTAATTTATCTAGTGAACTTGAAATAATTTTCCACTGAGAACTTCAAACTCATGCTTTTTACAGCATTTTACTTTCAAAATGTAAATTTTCTGCAGGTATTCTTCAGCTGATTAGGGTGTAAAGTAGAATGCATATGCATGTGCACCTACTGCGCACAACAAGACACCTTCTGTGAGAGTGAAGAGAGCCCACTAGAGGAGAAAATACTTTGAAGTATAAAGTCATAAAACCAATGAGTGTAATGATCTGGCTGCAATTTGGCTGAAAACACATGTAGCTTAAATATTTGGGAAGAAACCAAAGCACAGTTGCTTATTTAAAATCCAATTATGATGATTAACATTTGCTATCTATTTTTCCCAGCTCTTCTATTGCAAGGTTATATGACTGCTTTACAAAAAACTTGGCATGAGGTAAAGTTTTTATGAACAGGCCTAGAATAAGGACATCACTGACAACTACGCGCAATCACAGTTTGTGTGATTAGCTGAACATTCAAACTACTCTCTTCAGATTAGATGTTGCCTCTAGCCTTTCCCTCTGTGTGGGGTTCACGAGCCCCTTACCTTCTAAGGCTAGCACTTTTGCATCTACAGAACAGCAGAGAAATTCAGTCATAGGATTCCTTGTTAAACACCTAACAGCTGCCTTATTAGCTCTTGGTATCCAAAAGCATTCATTTCTTTCTACATTTTTCAGTGTCTTTCCCCACACTACAGCATCTGTTTTTAACTAGCTCCTTCGCCACAGCTGTTGAATTAGTCCCTTTGTAATCCTGGTAAGAAGGCTGTCCCGTGCTGTTTGTATTTATTCGTCATGCAGTTGTTTCTTAAGCCTTTTGCCATCATGTTCTTCTGATAAAAGCCAAGTTGAAGGCAGTATCCCTACTGAAGATACAGCAGCATTGTGTCTCACTCACAGTGGCTGAATGGTGAGATGATAACCCTGCTTCTCTGTGGGCAATAT